AGGCTTCTAAGCCATGAACCAAAGGGGCCAACTCAATCCAAAACCTTCCTGGATCGAAACTAACCAGCCCCGCAAGTCATAAAACGATAAATACACATGTGAAAAGCATTAGAGGGGAAACAAGGCGCAATACACAAAACAACCGGTCGGATCGTTACATTCTCCCCCTCTTAAAACCAATGTTCATCCTCGAACGTGCATAGAGACATACCTGAATAGGAAAATAGGTAAGGATAAAGACTTCGCATGTCGTGCTCGGTCTCCCAGGTTGCCTCCTCGACCGGATGACCTCTCCATTAAACCTTCACTGAAACAATATTCTCAGACCTCAACTTTCGGACATGCCTGTCCAAGATGGCCACCGGCTTCTCAACCTAAGTCAAATCCTCGTCCAATTGGACTGAGCTGAAATCTAATACGTGGAACAGATCGCTATAGTACTTCCGGTGCATGGAAATATGGAGCCAGGTGAATTGCCGATAAAGTGAATTGGCAATGCAAGCTTGTAGGCCACCTCACCAACTCTATCAAGGATTTCAAAAGGAATAATAAACCTAGTGCTCAACTTGCCTTTCTTCCCGAACAACGTCACACCCTTCATGGGTGAAACCCGAAGCAAAACCCTCTCTCCCACCATAAATGCTACATCACGAACCATTCGATCAGCATAACTCTTCTATATAGACTATGCTGCATGAAGACGATCCTAAATCAACTTGACTTTCTCCAAGGCATCCCGAACCAAATCAGTGCATAACAACCTAGCCTCACTTGGTTCAAACAACCTAACTGGGTAACATCACTGCTTCACGTATAAGGCCTCATAAGGAGCTATCTGAATGCTCGATTGGTAAATGTTGTTGTAGGCAAACTCCGCAAGCGATAGAAACTGATCCCAAGAAACCCAAAAATCCATAACGCAGGCACGTAGCATATCCTCCAAGATCTTGATGGTGCGCTTGGACTGCCCTTCCATCTAGGGGTGAAATGCTACGCTCAACTCAACAGTGTGTCTAACTCACATTGTACAGCTCTCCAGAAATGCGATGTAAACTGCGTGCCTCAATCGGAGATAATGGACACCGGCATACCATGAAGACGAACAATCTCTCAACTATAGACCTGAGCCAGCTGCTCTGAAGAGTAGGTAGTCATAACCGGAATGAAATGCGCTAACTTGGTCGGCTTGTCCACAGTGACCCATATTGCATAGAATTTCTTCGAAGTCTGTGGAAGCCCAACAACGAGATCCATGGTAATATGCTCCCATTTCCACTCGGGAATCTCAAGGCTCTGAAGCAAACTACCCGTCCTCTGATGCTCATACTTCATGGCAGTTCAAGCACTGAGCCACATACTCTACTATTTCTTTGTTCATTCTCCTTCCCAATAGTGTTGCCTTAAATCCTGATACATCTTAGTGGCACCCGGATAAATTGACAATCGCGAATAAGACCTTCTTAAGGATCAACTCACGCAACTCGTCCATATTGGGCACACATAACCGGCCCCGCATCCTCAATACTCTGTCATCTCGAATAGAAATCTCCTTGGCATCGCCATGATGCACTATGTCCCTAAGGACAAGCAAATGGGGGTCGTTATGTTGCGTGCCCTGATGCGCTCATAAAAAGAAGAAAGAGAAACCACGTAAGCTAGAACCCGGCTAGGCTCCGAAACATCCAATCTCACAAACCCATTGGACAAGGCCTGAACATCCAATGCAAATGGTCTCTCCTCAACTAGAATATATGCCAGACTACCCATACTCTCTGCCTTCCTACTCACTTAGCAATTGCGAGGCTGGTGCTCGCAGTTGCGACTTCATAGGCACCAGCACACCAGCAACCTATTTTTAGTTCAAACCTTTTTGAAATACGTTCAGAACTCATCCGAGCCCTTAGGATCCAAACCAAACAACCACATAAGTGTAACATCATACGAACTCACTCGTGTGATCAAAACACAAAAATAATACCTAGAACTACGAATCAGACACCAAAGCGCATGGATTTCAAAGAAAAGTTCAAGAACCTCTCGAATTGCAACCAAGCGTGCGTATCCTACCAAATGACACCAAATTTAGTAGACAAGTCCCAAATAGCATAACAGACCTATTAGAAGTCCCAAAATCTAATTCTGAACCCGATAGAAGAAAAGTAAACCTATCAATCTGCTATCTAGAACAAACCTTTGTTCAAGTAATCTTGAGTTCTTGGGAAAACTTCTAAACCTCAAATTGCCAACTTTCGGCAAAACAAGTCAAATCAACTTAGAGGCATCCGAATTTGATTTCGGGAATACGGACAAGTCTAAAATCACGATACGAACCTATCAAGCCCATCAAAACACCGTTCCAGGGTTGTTTTCACCAAAGTTAAAACATTGCTCAATAATTTCAACCTAGGCTTATGAGCCATAAACCAAAGTGTCCAAATCAATCTAAAACCTTTTCGGAACGAAACTAACCAACCCTACAAGTCATAAAACCATAATACACATGTGTGAATAACCAAAGGAGAAACGGGCGAAAATACACAAAACGACCAGTCGGATTGTTACATTTTACACAAGAAAAAAACAACAATAAGAAAAGCTTTGTTATAGCACCCAAAACTCATTCGGAACGTCCCGGACACAAATCATATATGCATTTTAATCATAAAACATGATACAAACCTTTTTGCATACTCAAAACACATAAAAAAGATTATCTTGACTCGATATTGACCATGGTCAAACTCCAAATCCTTAACTTAACTAGTTTCTCAACCAATAATCTAAAACACACCCGAGCTTCTCGGAACCAAATCTAATCATACCAGCAAGTACAAATACATTATTAAAACTTGTCCAAAGCTTCAAAACACCCACAGGAACATCACAACAAAGAATCAATGCTCAAACTGAATAGAATTTCTCTTAAGTTGTTCAATCTTCATTCTTTTAAAAGTGTGCGAATCACACTTAAGCACTTCAGATTACTTCCAAACTTTGCAAACAAGTTTAATTCAACTATATAGACCTATCCAAACTCTCGGAACACCAATTGGAGTCCAATAACATCAAAGTCAACTCTTGGTCAAACTTATGAACTCTTAAGTTTTTCAAATTGCCAACTTTCAATAAATAGTGTCGAATTCTTCTAGGAACCTTTGAAAGAAAATCCGAAAATACGTACAAGTCTAATATCATCATACAAACCTATTGTAACAATCAAAACCCGATTCCGAGTCCGTTTACCCAAAAGTCTAACCTTGATCAATTCTTCCAACTTAAAACTTCCAAATCTGCGTGTACGCTCCTCAAGTAGGCTTGGACTAGGAGGTCAAGAGACAATTCTGGGAGGATTTAGATGAAGTGATGCGCAATATCCCACACACCGAGAAGCTATTCATTGTCCGGGATATTAATGGTCATATTGGGGCTGATGCTAGGGGTTATGATGATGTACATGGCGGTTTCAATTTTGGGGATCAGAATGAGGGGGGCTCCACACTATTTGATTTTGCTAGAGCTTTTGATTTGGTAATAGCTAACTCGAATTTTCCAAAGAGAGAGGAGCACCTGGTCACCTTCCGGAGTTCAGTAGCCAAGACCCAGATTGATTACATCCTTTACAGAAAAGGTAATAAAGGTTTATGCACTGATTGCAAGGTCATCCCGAGTGAGAACATCACGACCCAACATAGACTCCTAGTAATGGACTTGGAGATCAAGAAGATCAAGAGAAAGAGGGTGGTGTTCAAGCAAACTAGGATCAAATGGGGTAATTTGACTAAGGACAAAGTTCAGGAGTTAGGGGAGAGGTTGCTGGCTGTGAGAGCCTGGGAAAGTAGGGGAGATGCAACTAGTATGTGGACCACGACCGCAAATTGCATTAGGGACGCTGCGAGAGAGGTCTTAAGGGTTATGAAGGGCTATCCCCGGGGCCACAAAGGATACTGGTGAAGTGTATTAAATACGAGGACGACAAAGTATTGATGGACGAGGCACATATTAGACGCAGATGGCAGATGTACTTCCATAGACTGTTGAACGAGGAGGGCGATAAAAGTATTGTGCTGGGTGAGTTGGAGAACACTGAGAGTCAGAGGGATTTTGGTACTGTAGGCGTATTAAGGTGGAGGAGATGGAAGGGGCTATGCACAAGATGAGTAGGGGCAGAGCGACGGGGCCAAACGAAATCCTAGTGGACTTTCGGAAGAACGCGGGTTGAGCAGGCTTTGAGTGGCTCACTGGTTTATTTAATGTAATTTTAAGACAAAGAAGATGCCGAGGTATGAAGGTGGAGTACGATGGTTCCGTTGTACAAGAACAAGGGTGATATCCAAAATTGCAGCAATTATAGGGGTATAAGCTGTTGAGCCACACTATGAAGATTTGGGAGAGGGTGGTGGAGGTCAGGATAAGGAGGAGCGTGTCTATTTCCGAAAACCAGTTCGGATTCATGCAGTGGCACTCAACTATGAAAGCTATTCATCTCGTGAGGAGATTAGTGGAGCAGTATCTGGAAAAGAAAAAGGACTTGCACATGATGTTTATCGACCTTGAAAAAGCGTACGATATAGTGGCGAGGGAAGTTTTGTAGAGGTGCCTGGAGGTTAGCGTCATTCCGGTAGCGTACACAGGGTGATTAAGGATATGTACGATGGTGCTAAGACTCGGGTTAGGACTATAGGAGGGGACTCAGAGCACTTTCCAGTTGTGATGGGGCTGCATCAGGGAACGACTCTTAGCCCGTTTTTATTTGCCTTGATGATGGACGTGCTGACGCGACACATAAAAGCTGAAGTGTCATGATGCATGTTATTTGAAGCTTGATACTCAAGTTATCCCCAAGAAAGTTTCAAGTATCTTGGGTCTATTATCCAGGGTAAAAGGGAGATTGACAAGGATGTCGCACATCGTATTGGAGCAGGATGGATGAAATGGAGGCTTCTGTCCGGCATTTTATGTGATAAGAATGTGCTGCCAAGACTTAAAGGTACTACAAAGTGATGGTTCGACCAACTATGCTTTATGGGGCGGCGTGTTGGCCAATTAAGAACTCACATGTACAGAAGATGAAAGTAGCAGAAATGAGGATGTTTAGATGGATGAATGGGTATACCAGGAGAGATAAGATTAGGAATGAAGCTATTCGGGAAAAAGTGGGAGTTGCTTCCGTGGAGGACAAGATGCGGGAGTCGAGGCTGAGATGGTCCGGGCATGTAAAGAGGAGAACCATTGATGCTCCTGTTAGGAGGTGTGAGAGGCTGACCATGTCGGGTTTGAGAAGAGGTCGAGGTAGTCCAAAGAAGTCTCGGGAGAGGTGATTTGACATGATATGACGCGACTTCAGCTTACTGAGGACATGTCCCTTGATAGGAAGGTATAGAGGTCTATTATTACAGTATAAGGGTAGTAGGTAGTTTTAAGTTTCTCTTTTTCCTACCAGTTTCTTTAGCAACACTCAGGTTCCTCTATATGCTTAAGTAGATCGTTACTTCGTCATGTGATTTAGTTCGTCTCATCTATCGTATTCCCTCTTGTTAGTGTTTGGTACTACTAATTCCCATCCCCCATTTTTTATTTATTTTATTTTTATTTTTATTTTTTTGTTCTTCTTATTATTATTTTTCTTGTCCCCTCGTCTTCTTCCCCTTATTCCTCTTCTCATTCTTTCTAAGCTGAGAGTCTATTGGAAACAGCCACTCTACCTTCAATAGGTAGGGGTAAGGTCTACGTACGCACTACCCCCACAGACCCCACTTGTGGGAATATACTGGTTTTCTTATTGTTGTTGTTGTTGTTAAAACTTCCAAATCAAGAGTCATTCTTCCATGTCAATCCCGAACCACTCAAAAACCCAAACCGACCATACACCCGAATCATAATACTTCATATGAAGATACTCAAAGTCTCAAACCACCGGATAGAACGTTAAAGCTCTAAACGACCAGTCGGGTCGTTACACTCATTAGGTAGATGGGTGGAACACATTGGCTAGCACTTCCCATCGGTTGAAGAAGCTATTTGATTCTCTACCAAGATCATGAAGCTCTGATATTAATATGAAGAAAAATTATTTTATTATAAATCTCTAAAACTCTTAATGCTCTCTATGTCTTTCGTGAGCCAGGGGTCTATCGGAATATCCTCTCTACCTTCAAGGCATGGGTAAGGTCTGCGTACGCACTACCCTCCCCAGACCCCACTTGTGGGATTACACTGGGTTTGTTGTTGTTGTTATTGTCTTAATGATCTCTAATGAAGACGAATGTAGTCTTAATTCTCTTTTTCCCAAATTTAAATATTATGGGGAAACATTTATATGAAAAAATAAAACCCCAACACTGAGAAGGGGGTAATCCAGTCACATCTTCCAGTATAGCTATCTTGTTATGGGTTTACTCCAATCATTAGTCCTAGGGATGGCAAACGGGGCGGCGCGGGTGCGAGGCGGGGCGGGGCAGGGCGGGTTTAATCTTATGCGGGGCGGGGCGGGTTTAAGTTTATGCGGGGCGCTGTGGGTGCGGGGCGGGTTTAAGATTTTTTTTTAATTTAACTGCGGTTGTGGGGTGGTTGCGAGCTATGCATTTGTTTAATACCTGCATCGCACATTTGCTGCTTTTCATCAAAGAAGATTCAAATGTTTTCGTAGAGTTGTAATCTACTTTCTCAATTGGAATCTGTTTTATAAGCTTTCCCTTGCTCATCTTTATATCTTTATTTTTATTTTAAATTTTGTTAGTTCATAATTAGATATTACCAATTTTTGGGTCATTAAAATATTGATGCGTCTATCCGGTAGGAATGTAGCATACTAGTTTTAAGAAGATATATTAAAATTGATTATTATAATTAACTCACTAATCAAATTACTACTTTTATTATGGAGTAATATGCTAAAAGATATTTTCTAACAAGATTAGTTATAGACATACAATAGCACATGAAAAACATTCTGGACATAACTGGAACTATCGAGAAAAAGAGACAAGAAGGCCATAGGCTATCATTAATTTGTTTGGATTTTTTTTAATAGAGAAACTACTTGTTAAAAATAAAAAAATAATTTTTTGGCTTTGCGGGGCGGGGCGGGATGGGGCGGTTTGAAAATAGAATATCTTGCGATGCGGTATGGGGTGGGGCGGGTTGAACTTTATGCGGGTTAAGGATGAACGCGCCCCACAACCGCTCCGTCCCGCCCCATTACCATCTCTAATTAATACTGCCTTTGGCATTAACGACTAGCTCCTACAGTGTAATGGGCGATGTTTACAAAGCTCGGGAACAAACCATCGTGGATGCTCTCTTAGACAACCTCCCAATGTTAATGGGTATAATTATTGCATTAGCGACCAATAATCCGCATAAGTTTCAAATAAATGATTCATCTTTTCCTTCTTTGTATTGATGTTGCATCATGTTAATTTCCACATAATCTACCAATGACCAAACTGTCTCCTCTCCTAAGTCAGAGAATTCCCGCAGTATTTTCGATTTGAGCTTACCTTCAAAGCTTCCTAAGCTCTATGCTATGCCACATTTAATCGTTTTACAACTCACACACTATCTTTTATATTACGTATAATACATTATGTTTTTGAAAGATGCTCTCGAAAGTATAAGAGGGGTGAATTGTAGCCTTTTTAAATTTCTAGTCGACTACTCTTTAGACCTAGTCGACTTATGCGGAGACAGCCTGCAAAATTGTTAGTCTTTTTCGATTTAAACAAGTGCTAATAAAAATAAACAGTAAAGGAACAGAATATAATATGAGAGCGATAAAGATTTTTATACTCGTTCGGAACCAATGTGGTATCCTAATCCAGTCCTCTTGGGTTGCAAGAGTGTTGTCTTTTAGAGCTCTTTGTAAATTAAATTGAATACAGCCTTTGTGGTTTTCAGCGATCACCAACAACGTTGACAGGGTTGGTTTTTACTCACTCACCAAATATGAACAAGAGTTGAGTTTCACTCGCTCACCAACAACGACCCTTTGGTTTTCACTCGCTCACCAAAGAAATGAACAATGACACAACCTCTCGGACACACTGCCTCTCCAATATTTTTCTGTCTCACTTCTCTCTTTTGTGTAAACAGTAAATCTAAAAGTGAATTACAATGCTTGTTAAGAGTAGAATAATGAACTTGTAGTTGGGTAGACAATTGTATAGAAGGTTGCGTGTTTTTCTTTATGTGTAGAGCTCCTCTTTATAGCCTTTTCAACTTGTTCCGGCTACTGCATAACCCAAGAGAATTTCTTTTGTACTGTTGCATGATTGTCTTGAATCTTGGCATGTCTTCTTTTAGAATCCTTGATTATTGCTGACATGTCTCCTAACTATGGACTTGAATATTTCCCAATGTATTAATACCGTATCACTACATCTTGTGTCAAAATATGCTTTCCTTTTGAAGGTGCAATTTACATTTCAAACTCCAATGCCCATAAACTCTTTTTTTTATATGAACTTGGACATTTCCATGTGTACTGGAGGAATTGACTTTCTTTCAATGTAAGCATGATTCTCTTTCCTTTAAAGAATAGATACTGATGAGATTCTCATTCTTTGCCTCCTCATACTTCTTCCTTTTCTGATAGATCTCAATATACCTTTGACTCCTTTCTTGATATTGATAAATAATCTTTTTCCATAATATAGATTATACTATGCCCATAATATATTTTCTTTCCACAAAAATATATATCTTCTCCATGATTTTAGCAACTTTCCTTTCAAGATGTTGAAAAGCTTTCTATCCATAATTTCCATAGATACTTCTTCTAATATTGTAGTAAGCCATTCAATATTTGAAATTTCACTTTCAAATATTATTCCTTCTATGTCACTTGGAGATTAAATCTCTGAAAATAATCTTCCTTGATAAATTCTTCACATGATATTCTCTTTCCCATATTTGTTTGGATCTTTAAAAGCATTTTTTTTCCTGTACAAAAATAAGATTACCACCAGTAAATGTTCTTTGATTAATAATTATTTTGGTTTGTTATCATCAAAATTAATACGTGAAACCTTGAAGCTAACAATCTCCCCCGTTTTGATGATGGCAAACCATTGAGTACAAAATAAGAAAATTCAATTAAAGACTTAATTAAAGTACAGTAAAGGTTACATCTCTGAAATGTCGTGCATTCTCTTTCATGCATAGATGTCATGGCACGTAAAGGCTCCCCCTTACTCTAAGCATTCCTTCGTCATGCTCCCCCTGCCTTTAAGCATCTTATCTGTAAATTTGCGAGGAAAGTTTTGTACTATATATTTTCTCCCCCTTTTGTCATCATCAAAAGGGTGGAATAACTTGGATGTATTCACGTATATGTAACGAAGATTATAGCCTATTCACATGTTGTATTTAAAGAATGGCTATAATATATAATCATCCAAAGAGTTAAAAAACATGTAGTAATAATTTCCTTTAAGAGCCGTAAGCAGAAAGAAAAATCTAACAAAACTTTAAGCTAGTTGAAAGCTTTAATCCGACCAAAATATCCAAGGCATTAACCCAAAGCTAAAAAAAATTATACTGTCATTGTAGGTAGACTAAAAAAAATTCTAGACCACAGAAGAAAATCATTTCACATGATTGAAAGCTTAGCAGAGATTAAAACAACTCACGGAATACTTGATTTTTCCAAAACATCATTTAGCATATAAGAAGGTGTAATAGCACATAGTCACTTGAAAAACGCTAGATGATTTAAAAAGATTAAGAAACTTTTGATATCCTCAAATGTTAAAATTTCAAGAAAAATTTGAACAAAAACTTAAGACCCTTAGAAAGATTACAACATATTAATGCATACAAGAGTCAAGTAATGGTCATATATTCATATCACCAAAAAAAAGGATGTGGGATCATATCACCAAAGAGAAGGATATGGGATCATTCCCATGAAAGTCGTTTATCCTTTTCATGACATGAGAATATTAAAAATCTCCATCCCATTTTTTTTTTATATAATTTCAATCCACTTTGTTGCTTGCAAGGTTTGCATCTGAAAATATTCTTGTAACGACCCGACCGGTCATTTTAAGAGTTAACGCCCCGATCCCCTATTAACTGCATTCCTCGTGTTTGTTTTTGCTATTGTGAGTTGCCAGGAGGATTTATTTGGAGTTTCAGAGAGTTGCAGGACACTTAGTACCTAAATGAGAGCTTAAGTTTTAGAAATTGAACCGTAGTCGGAACAGTGTGAAGACGACCTCGAAATGGAATTCTGTTGGTTCCGTTAGCTCCGTTGGGTGATTTCGGGTTTAGGAGCGTGTTCAGATTGTGTTTCGGAAGTCCGTAGCTCATTTAGGCT